AGTTAAACAGGAAGGGCTGAACTTGAGCTCAGAGCTGCAAAACTAGCAACTGGCCACATGGTGAAGGCTCTTTTCTCTACTTCCAGGAATTATGTCCTGTGATGTGTGTGTGTATATATAGAGAGACATTACAAGAGTGAAGCACAAATTCACAGGCCAGTATTGAAATGACAGACAGCTGACAATGATGTCAATGTCCTTCTTCAAAAGGACCTGGTGAAAACCTCCTACACAGATGCAGCCTTCTAAAGCCCACACAGACCTCATATGCAAAATGTACTTGGGAAGATCTTACCTAACCACAATCACTGCATATCTGCACAACACTACAGGGCTGGAAAGAGGAGAAGGAGACAACAGATGGTGGAAATTTCACAGTATCTTTACTATTAGCAGAGTAACATGACAACTCTCTAACACAGTTCAGAAGGCAACTCAGAAGAGGCTTCCTGTCTCCGACGGATGAGAAATCTGAGTTGTGGACAGATGAGCATAAACCACAACCAGCACAAAAATGACATCCGAATCTCAACCATGCACTTTTCCTGTCTGGGAGTGTTTACATCCTTGGTTGAATCCAGATTTTCTTCCCATTTGTGAAATTGCCATTTTTGCAGGATCCACAAGCACCTCAAAGACAAACATTTGACAAGATCATGCAAGAGGGGAAACAGACTGGTAATTTATTTTCTTTCTCCTGCTTGACCCTTGTAACTCCACATGCCAACAGGTGGATCAGGCTACACAGGTAAGCACTCCTGCACCAGGTTTCCCAGATAACCTGCTTAATTTTGCAGTTTCCATGCCACAATGGAAATACCTACTTATCCCAAGAGCCCTGGGTGAGGAACCAATTAAAGGAAAGAAGTCTTCTCTCATTTACTGCCCAGCCCATGCACTAAAATAGCACAAGAGTCTATTGTGAATAAGAGCGCAGCCCAAATGTGATAATCAGTCATGGTATGACAGAACTTCCCAATGGACAGAAGCCACTGCAAATGGAAAATACTAAAGCAGCCTACCCAAAAGGAAGGCCTGTATGGCCTCTTCAGAAGTGGTGCAAATTTACAACAAAGCAGTGTATTCACAGTCAGGGGAAGGAGGAAAGTCCTGAACACATTCTGTCAGAAGGCATCAGTTCCACTAAAGTCTCAGTGATACTGTGAAATGGCTAGATCCTGGGATTCCAGTTAATAAGAGGACTTTTCCATCTTCTCCTGAGGTTCAGCACAGGTCAACTGCTGTCCTGCAGGCCACATCAGGACTACAGAGGGAGAAAAGACAAATCCGCTGCTTTCTCTGGTGGAGGACATGATGTCACCTAGCCAAAAGCCCCTTCCCATGCCTGGATACTACCTGGCACACAACCACACAAGAAAGCAGAAGAACAGGGACAGGAGATTATTTTCTCCTTAGGCATGTATGTGTGTCACCAAGCTAAACATGATGCTTAAAAGTAGTTTCTGCTACACAGGGAAAGAAGGAAAGTCCTGTAGTCATGTGGCAACTAAAGCGAGACCACCTTTTTTCTTGCCCCAGCCACGTTTGTAGTGATGGGCAAAGGGCTCCAAAAAGTATCACGTCCTTTGCATTCTCCCATTACTTTGGATGCTGAGCAATCTTAATTCCTTTTAAAAGTCAGTCTGCTGGTAGGAATACTATCAATTTCAGCAAATCAAAAGGATTGTCAAATTCCCTTAAGGGATGTTAAAAACCAGAAAAATGTAATTCCTTGCTTAGTCACAGATTTTTGGGAGAAACTGCAAGTTCTCAACTATTCAGGATCCTTACACTGGGATTAAGGGAAGATTTGGTCCTGTGAGGGATTTTGTTATCTCCTAAGTCAATCGCTGACTAAGGAGAAAATACTAAAGGGAAAAATGGATGGGGAAAAAAAGGACATCTCTTTAAACCCTACAGTGTCTGTGATGAAGTAATCTCTGAAGGATATTTCAGTCTTTCCCACAAAAATGCGGGGATTTCTGAACCACCTGCTTGTTCACTGCTGCCAAAGAGACAAATAGAGTTTCATCTCCTTCAGAATATGACTGAGAGGGTGGAGACCAAGTTAACATCATAGAAACATTTGATCATTTATTCATCTGGCTCTTCAGAAAAGTACATTTTGATCCCTCAGATTACTTGCTCATCACTAAGGAGAGGAAAATTTCTCCTTTATATACAGCAGGACAACTTACATGTTCAAAGCTGAGCAAGCTCTTTCAAAAAAGAGAACAGAAAACAAACTATTAAAAGAACAAGAACATGAACACTGAGAACAGATTCAAACTCTGCTGAGTACGATACTTGCAATAATTTGATTTAGCACAATGTTTCATGTAACCTAACCCTTACTCCAGTTTGAATCTGGAACCAGTCTACCAAGCTACACTGAATCTGATGAGCCTGGGAACCAACAGCTTGTGACACTGCAAAATCTTCAGTAAAACAGACACATCATAACGCAAAGTAAAGAACAATAGTACAGCACACAGGCCTTGTGCTAAACTAAACTCTAAGTATTCACTGCACAGTGATCTGTGATTTCAGGAGATGTAACTTATGCTCTGGATGGTCCCTTTCAATCTTCTTTCATTTCTGATGCAAGCAAATATTGCCTAGATGGTATGCAAAGCATCATACAAAAATGCTGACAAGCATCCTTGTTTCTTTTGTTCATGTAGCTACAATCCCGGTAATTGAGACAAAACAAATGAAAGATCACGACCACAAGGCACATGATCAATCACATTTCACCTGCTTTCTTCTTCCTTAGCAGTTGCTGTTTACCATTTTCTAAGGTATCTTTTATTGGTGGTATAGAAAAACAGGGCTTAATTTAGCTTCTATGCAGCAGTTTGCCACAAGATGCATGAGTTGGTCCCCCAAGAGAAATCACTGTGAACTACAGTCCCTGTTATAAGGATTACTTACCTCTTTTTTGCAAGACAGCTGTCTTGTACACAGACCCTATCAATACGTAAAGTGAAATGCAGCTGAGACACAGATAAGCAAAAAGGCAACTTTGCCACTCATTAGTGTAATCTTGAAAACCTGCGCTCCAGGAGGATGAAACACCTTTTTGGGTGCCATGAGACAACCGATACTCACAAATTTTATGTTCTTATTAATATTTTTCTTTAAAAAAACCCCAACAAACTAAAAAAAAAAAACCAAACAAAACAAACAGTTGCTTTTCATTCACTTTGAAGAACATGGGAAGAGCTGTTCAGAGTAGAAAATAACCCTACATACCAAAACACACAGATGGAAAATTTCAAATTACACTCTGTACATAACCATTTAAGGGCTTAATAACTTTGAAAAGTTCAGCATCCTCTCACAATAGAATGGATCATCTTTCTCCCATGGTCAAAGGGTGATATTCTGCCCAAAATGTCAGGTGCACTTTGAGGGTTAGTCCCTTAGATGGTGCCACATCTAAGGGGTCTGTAAATTCGAAGGCAGTGAGGAGCTTCGAAGCAGGTGTATGGGATTTTTATTTTTGCCCATTTCTGAGTCTTTCTTGCTGCATGAGCAGCTACACTGTGGTAATTTGAAGCTATGAATTGTCCTTCTGTTACACCTACATCCTCTGACAATCACATTAGCACTCACATCCTCACGTAAACAGACAACACTACAAATAGTAAGTCAACATACAGGTAATAAGAAGGCTTAAATAAACCAACAGAGAAGGGATAATTTAATAAGGGAGTAAGTGCCTTTTGCCAGTGTAAAAAAGACTGCTCTATCTGATTAAGAATTAGACAGGACAAGCTTAAAAGGGAGTCACAGCTAGGCCTCTGCAGCTGTGAAAACTGTGTGGCATGAGGCCCTTTGGCCAACAGCATGTGTACAGTGTAAGAGAAAACATAGGGGAGGGCATCCTTCTTGGTACGATCATTGAGCCTACTGTCCTTTCAAGTTCAGGATCCTGTTTCCAGGTGCAGCCAACTCAAAATGCTTGAAAAGGTATGAACCTCTTCCTCTCCTGCCTACAACAGGCCATAATAATTTTCTGGACCTTTCAGCAATTAGCTTTGCAGTTTAATAAGAAAAAATGTGCTTTATTTGTATTTGGAACATGTTTAATTTCACCTTTGAATCACACGATTCAGGCTTTTGTCTACTAGACGGTATCCATTACATCTGTTTTCCTGTAGAAGTGGACTACAATCCACTTTTTGTAGTGTATTTGTACAGTGTTAGTCATTTATCTGCAAAGGCATTACAGTATGTGTACTTAACAGTGGCACTTTAAAGGAGCCTAGGTAGGACAGGTCTCCCTTCAGCCAGGTACTAATACCTTGAGTGACAGCGTCTAGCACTAAAGAAGCAGTAAGGTTTCATATTTACACGGTTATTGGAAGGCAACAGACACCATGAACATCAGCAAGGTCATTTGGTTTTGGGGCGGTGGTGGTGTTGGGGAGAGCATGTTTACCATGCAGTTTGCATGTGCCTACCCCTACATTTTGCCAAACATGGGGAATGCAACTGCACAACTTGTAGTAGTGAAGGATCACTTTTGTGCTCTCCCTTGGAAAGACTAAGAAAAACAAAACATGGCTCAACAGAAAGGGCTGGGATGTTAAGAAATTGGAACAGAAAAATCTTCCTAGTGAAAACCTTCTAAACCTAAATTTCCCCCATCGCAGTGTCTACCTGAAAGGTGAGGTAGGCACTGTCTCTCAAATGAGAAACATGGTCGGCAGTGATGTGCACTGCAGTACCACTGCTAAAGCCACTGACATTGTAAATACAAAGGAGAAAATTGTTACAACTGCGTAACACGAGTTAAAATTCACTTCACTTAAGCAAGGATCACAGTCCGGTCCTGTTGGCTTACACAAGATTGTTAGCTTTTGTCAAATGACAGCCTTTCATGGTAGGGAAAACTACCAGTCTGGAGGGAGTAATACCCACCATAAATTACAGTAATATTTCTATAGTCTCTGTTAGTTAAAACAATTACTTTTTTCCCCACTTTCCTTCAGATTGAGAGATACAAACCATGCGTTCCAGAAGTAACACCACAGAAAGCCCAACCAGACCAAAGCTGAGCCAGCAAAGGCCAAAAGATCACTATAAAGAAGAGGTTGGTTACAATGGGAGAGAAAATGTGCAAAGAAGGCAGAAGGAAGATGATATAGCCCAAGCCAGTGCCATCCTAAGAAGCCCTAAGGGAGAGAAGAAACAAAGAAGTCCTTTCAAGGAAAGAGAGGATCTCTCTCGTGATGACTTGCTATTTCTTCTTAGTGTCCTCGAGGGTGAATTACAGGTGATTTATTGTCTTATTTTATATTCCAAATTAAAACTTGCTTCCTCCCCTCATCCCAAATTACTGCAAACACACATGGCTTTCATGTTAACTCTAATTTCATACAGAAGGATGAATATAAGCTGCAAAGTACATAAAAACACAAATTATAGCTATTAGCCACAAAAGGTGATCTTTACACCACCCCTAAATGAAAATAAAATTTATTTATGACCTGTATCATACTAAAACCACTTATGGTCCACTGTGAAGAACCATGTAACTCTCAAAGTGGAGAACTCACACAATTTGCCTTTTGTGCTGCCTCATTCTAGAGTACTTTGAATACAAAGTATTTGTCACTGTAAGATGCACACAGAGAACATGTTAGAGACCTTTTAGATTTGTTACCTAATTGTTTCTTATCTCCAGTCTCCTATGAAGTCATGAGCTCTATTCCCTGTAAATCAGTATGGGCTACATAACAAGTAGCAGCTCAACACCATTCTAACATCTTTTGCTAGAAAAATCAAAATAGCCATTTCACATAATATGAAGCCTGAATGTTGCATGCCACTTAACCCACAAGATACTGGATTTTGAAGAATGAGCATTTTTCTTCCTGGAAAAGGAGCCAGCTGCCAAGTGGTAAATGATGCCTAATCATGTCAAGTGTAATTTCAGGAATCGGGAGCCAGATCTCCAATGAGCAAGGAGAATACTTCTGTGACAAGCTGACTGCACTGAAGCAGTGGTGGCTGCTTAAAACTGCTCACAGAGGGAACAGCAAACTCACCAAAGTGGCTTAAATGGGTGTATCACACAGTTGCAGAGTTTATTACCTAGACAGTATCTGGGTAGTTCTATTCTTAACATATGTGTATATATTTACATAATAATACATGCATGCTTAAGAGAACACACGTGCAATACAAATATTCGATGGATGCACCAGTCTGTGAGGGTAGATCCAATGCAAACTTCTACAGAACATCTCATTGTGAAAAACAGCAATTTCTGTGTTTCCAAAGCATTTCTACCCAGCTCACCTGCCCTTTCTTAATTTAGATTAAAATTCGGATGTCACACATTCCTCCAAAACAGTTCTCTTCCTCTCAGAAAAAGAGATGCTTGCTTATATCTATTTATGTTACATAAGTGTAAACACACACACATACACACCTCAATTCTTAAGACTTAAAACTGGAATGGAGTTAAATGAAAACCTGGAAAACAATGAGCTTGACATGAACATTTTAAATCACATCCGAAATTCTAAAGGAAGCGTTAAGAATGAAAAATGCAAGTAATTTTTTATTCCTGATTTTCCACCTCCTGTAATGCCAAGTCAAATCTCTGAAGATCAGCTGCCAATCCAACTAATATTATTTCAGTTAGATACCATTATTCTCCTATTCCAGAATATTTAAGATGCACAAAGATCACTCTTCTAATTTTTTTTATGAAATGATAAGGATTAGAGAGATTATTTTATATTTTTTTTAAACACAGTCACAAATAGCAATACAGAATTGCTCCAGACAGTCAGGCTAAAAGTGTTACCCTTTCCTGATACATCCTTCTGATTTCCCCTCTTCCTATTCTACTCATCTAGTATAAGCATGTACTTGTTTTTAACTGAGATCACTGCAGGCAGTGGATGTTTGTGACAGTTCATGTAATTACATCACCATAACAGAGGCAACCTCCACAACCAGAGGATGCAGGAAAAAAGACATGGACACAGCCAAAGGGAAGGAGGTGACCTAAAACAGTTCCTCCCTATCCCCCATCCCCCCCACCCCAATACAAACATTCACTCAATCATATATTCCCAAGCACATTATCATTAGAAGTGGGACTTTGAGACTATTAGCACAATATTTGCAACAGGTATTCTGTTCCCTCCAACTTAACATCCAGAAGCTAATAACTTTCTAGCAAAGAATCATTCTTGGTAGTTAGCTTGGGGTTGTGTGTGCTGTTTTTTTGTTTGTTTTTTTGTTGTTGTTTTTGGTGTTTTGTTTGTTTGTTTAGTTTGTTTGTGGGTTTTCTTTTGGGGTTTGGGGGTTTTGTTTTGAGTGGTTTTAAGAGAAAAGAGAATCTATAGATCATTACAGATATTGCAGATATCTACAGCATGTTTCTCCAGCATAGCCTCAGCAATGCTGTATGATAAGGAGATACGTGCACCTGCCAACTCAGGCTTTAGCTTCTGAAATACATACACAGAAGAACATCCTGAGAATGTACCTACTCTTTGGTAACAGGATGTCTTGATTAAGACTGAGGAAACAAATGCAGTGACATTCAAAAATTTTCAGGCTATACCAGATTAACACCACCTTCTCTTAATCATTACCTTTTAAAATGCCTTTTTTTTTTAGCATGCACTCAAAAATTGAGAATACCCTACAGCAGTTACTTCCAAAAAACCTGATGCTGCAAGGCTGCTTATTACTTGAGGACATGTACATGAGCATGTGTACTCCTATATGTCTATAAATACATATGGCATGGTCTCACACATGCATTCACATGTATACATATGTGCACAAAGGACCCCACAGACATCTTAGAAAGCAAGTAATCGTCTTTTAAAGGACTGCCATCATTGCACAGCTTTGGGATGCGTGTTGCAAACAGTCACATCCTCAGCACCTCACACCTCACTATACTGATCACTAAAACAAGCTCAGTGTAACAACAGATGACCCCAGGCAGGTTTGAAGTACAGAAGCCACCCTTCCACTCAGAATATACAGAATATGAAACACTTCCAGGAATCAGGAACCATCCTAACATCTTGCAGTAGCAATTGAAAATCAACTTCTACTGCAAGACACACCTTGCCCTGAATTTTTGTTGTGAATGCCACACCCTGGTCCAGAAAAAGCAATACAATCTGATCACTAAGAAAGTACTGAGGCATCGATGAGGGTTCTGAAGGTGTTTGAGTTTATGCAGAACTGATAAAATACAAAGACCAATACTTCTCTTGTGCTATTTATGTGTCTTCATGTTACTATTTTACGTACACAACATTCTTTAAAAAGCTCTTAAATTTTCTTAAAATCCAAAGCAGAATGCTAAACTATAAATACATGTATACAGTTTAACAAAACAAATCCTTATTTTCTGTTTCTGCAGGCTCAAGATGAAGTTATAGGAGTACTTAAGGCTGAAAAAATTGACTTGGCTTTGCTTGAAGCACAATACGGCTTCGTTACTCCAAAGAAGGTGTTAGAAGCCCTCCAGAGAGATGCTATTCAAACAAAGGCTGACCAATGGCAAGAAGATATCTATGAAAAGCCTATGGGAGAGGTATGATTATATAACTGATATTTAACCACAGTTCTCACCAAATTCAACAGAAAAAGATTATCTCACTGCCTTGAGGGGAAGACCTAGAATCTAACATGAGTGTGATAGCAAAGTCCAGAGTCAGGTGGGGTCCCTAATAAAAAAAAAAAAAGTATCTAATGATCCTCATTTACACTGCACAAGAAGGCTTTAAACACAAACTTATGTGATTTTGTGTAACTCAGACTTTGATCATCAGCCTTACGTTTTTGACAGCATCTTCTTCTTTCTTCCTCCTTCCTGCCAGCCATATTCACAATCCATACAGATACCTCCCTATTTATCTCATTGAGCACATCTTACCAATGGTAAGGACCCACTCAGCAGTAATGGCACAGCTGTCTGTCTATTTTTACATGTACCAGCTCCCACTGGTTCTGGGAGAGGTAGAGGTATACCCGCTTAGGTCTGAGTAGCTACTGTAATAAGCTGTCACTAGAAGCTTCATCCAGGCAGAAATATAACATTCTTAAGTAGTTTTTAGTTTAATTACACTGCAGCAGCAGCCATACTCTCTGAACAATGTTAACTGAATTTCTGGCCTGCAGCGCAAATGCACTCGATATTCAAATCCCTTCATAACATTATATGTGGGGTTTTTTTCACAAGTAACTCTCTACTCTTGATTTTAAATAAGCATGTTTTAATATGCTGCTCAGTATAAATAATCATAAAACTAGTAATGTTGAATAAAATTCTTTTACGAAATGTTTTCCAATCATTCTGAACAGACATGTACCTAAGGATATAGAGCTCATTTCAGAGAAAATGATGTCAGGCAAAAGGTCAACAGCCATTTCAGAGGCTCAAAGGTTAAATCTTTGGCTATAATCTGAAACAGACAAAGTTCAACTGTAGTGGTTAATTTATTTTAGAATATTGTGGCATTATGTCACAGAAACTTTTAGCACAAATGGAAATTATCTGAGGTCCAAAAAAGTTTGAAAACATAAGTTCAGTCTGTTACTTTACATAAGTTTATACACACTTTTTCCTTCTTATGTTTAATGGCAGAGAAAGTATTTCTAACACCACTGCTTCCGGTAATTCCAAAAAGCAAAGGTAAACATGCACAGAGCAACTGAAAGGCTAGAAGGACCACTGACACTTTGTACGTCTCGCTAAACTAAAGGATGCTATAATCAGCAGGCATTCAGTTTCAAAATCCCCCCCTCCCCCCCCGATTGTCTTAGAGATCCATTTAGGTTTTGATCAGACTTTTTAATAGTTTATAAAAACAAAGGGAGAGGTGGAACCAGATACAAAGTATGGGAATGGGCCATTTAAATTCCCCCTTTGCAACCAAGACAGCATACCTTTGTATCTGCCTACAAATCTCTGCCAATCCAGTTCTTCTAGACTACGTGTCTCATGTTTGACAATTTAGTCTTGTAGCCCTGAATTCAGAGCATCTTCTCAAAACTCAATCGAAAATACAGTGAATTTCGAAGAGCATCTGTAAGATTACTGGCCCTCTAACGTTCTCCCCCACCTATCCCAAACTTTAGGAAGTTTCTCAGCCAGTTTGGCTAAGAATTTAGCAGGAAAATATGGTGATTGGTCAGCTTGACTCACTAGGAACAGGATTCATAGGTGCAGAAATGTAGCAAAAGAGAAACCAATAGTAACATATCTTCCTCTGCAAAACCTGAGTGTGACAGATCAAAACCTTGGCTATGAGATTATTCTTTTTTAAAGCAGAGGGTTTTTGCAGCCAAATTTGCTCTACATCTATTTCTTTCTGCAACCTAACAAATGCCAGATAAGCGCTCTTTTGTTCCATACTACTGAGGATACAACAAATTGTTCTATGCTTAAAGGGGCATAAAAGAAAGCACTTTTAGTTTGGTTTGCTTCACTGACACAAAGGCCTGAAAAGTTTTTTCACCATTGCACGGTTTATAAATTTAGACCAAGTCAGTTATTCATGATAAAAATTTAGCTTCAGATCAATTGCTACTTCTCTTGAAGAGAAAACAAACTGTATCCAACATTCTAGGAAATACAGAATAATAGCATAAGGACCATTTTCCCAGATTCAAAAATAAACAAATAAATGTTTACAAAGAATTAATTAAAAAAAACACTCAGAGAAGGTGATGTAGAAGAAGAGATATAAAGAAGAAGATACTGCAAAATTTATCATGTCTTTTTCTCATATTTCAAACTTCCATGAAATTAGACAGCCAATTCTGGCTTCTAACTCTCCCCCACTTCCAATAACATAGTCAAAGATAAAAAAATACAGTGCTTCACTGTTTGAAATGTGATGAAAAATACCTCCTACCACTTTGGGAACTCTAAAAGCAGCAAAACCAAAGGAAAACCTACATTCTGCATCCATCAGGGATAATTCAAAACTGAACCCAAAAAGCCTAGTGCCAGTTAGCTTGGGAAAAGATGTATCTTCACCCGCCTTTTAACAGTCTACTTGACTACACAGGAACTGCTTCCACAAGGTCCAGTAATCCTAAACTCAGAATTATACATTTATAAACAATGTCTGTGAAGCTATTGACAGGAATAATACTTTACTGAACTTTGGATAAAGAAATGTAACTAAACTTGAGTTTTATTCTGGCATAGTACCAAACCAGTCAAGAAAAGGAAAAACCAGAGTTCAGTTCCAACACAATGAATTTGATACATACCACCCTAGTCTGACTTCAGACACAAGTTGGTGGCAAAATGCATTTAAAGAATTAAATTCCTGTGAATTTTTAGCTTGCTGAACTATTCACAGTTACGTAAGACCATGACTCTAATTTTCCATTGTATTGTACAGTATGTTCAAGTATTAATTCTAGCAAAATGCCCATATGGTTACCAAGAGCAAAACAACAAATCACTTAATTATTATTTTATCACATTAATTTTCAACAGAAGACATTTGTACTGATGCTTATTACCCCTCTGTGTTTTTAGCTGAGAAATGTATAGCTGAGTAAATGAGTGCACACACATATAAAAGGGTATTTCAAGGGCAGATTTACCATTTGGACAGAGTAATTTGAGGAACCAGGAGCTGCTGGAGACTGCTCCTGTGTAAGGATCATGCACTAGCAGGGGTTCACATGACTCCTCTCTCCTCTGATGAACCCGTGGGAGTTAGCCACAAGGTCTCACAGGGAAAATGCAAGAGTCAAATCAGCTCCCCAGGGAAGTGCTCTTACTTCCAGAAGGATACAAGACAGTTTCCAAACCAATCACTCAGAAGTGCAGTAACCCAGTACCAGACTCTGCTCTGCTTGGTCCTGGCAGGGAGGGAGAGGCACGCTGCACAACAACACACCCAAGCGTCACAAAGCCAAATGCCCATGCCCATTATGCAGCTTACATGCAGATCTCAAGTGCCTGCTTTAATCACAGAATAATAGAACACTTAGGGTTGGAAAGTACCTTAAAATCATAAAGTTCCAAACCCCCCCTGCCATGGGCAAGGACATCTCCTACTAAACCATGACACCCAAGGCTCTGTCCAACCTGGTCTTGAACACCGTCAGGGATGGAGCACTCACAGCTTCCCTGGGCAACCCATTCCAGTGCCTCACCACCCTAACAAGAAAGAATTTCCTCCTTATATCCAATCTAAACTTCCCCTGTTTAAGTTTTAACCCATTACCCCTTGTCCTAGCGCTACAGTCTGATGTAGGTCTTACTGCCTCTCTAATTCTCTATCACCCAACAGTACCACGAGACAGGCCCAGTACCTCTTCCCTTTTTTTCCTGAGTGGCATCCCAAGCTTTCACTCTGCACCTTGTACCTACCCAGCCACAACACCCACATGCCAGCTGTGAATGCTTATGGTAGAACTGATTTGACAGTGCTCTTAAAAAGAAAACCTAAATGCAACTTCTGATCTGAGCAACAGGAGAAAACTGCAACATGGAAACAGCTTTAATGCAGCAGCTTAGTTACTTGCCTCTAAGCCTTTCATGCTAGCAGGCATTCCAGGGACACTACTGTTCTTCTACCCATTTTCAAATTCCTCATTCCACATCCCTGTCTTGAATACACACTTCACCCACTCGAAATACCAGTTTGTGCTCCAAACTGTTTATTTCAACTCTAACAAAAGGACAACTCTGAAATGAAAAGCACTGGCATTCATCCTTGAGAAACGCAAAACCAAAAACCTGGAGTTATTATATTTCTTCTTGCATACATGCTGCTTGGATTACTGCTTGAATTTATCTCTTGTAGCCATTCAACAATACTCCAGAGCAAACAAAGTATACTGAAACCAAAAGATACTGTTGGCAAATCTCACATCCTTCATACCCAACAGGGCAGAAGCAGGACTATTTTTTATTTGGTTAATATGTTTGTGTTGATGACTAACCCTCACCTCCATCAGGCTTTTATATGTTTGGTAAGAGGAGTCGTTTGATTTATTCCTGTAGCCAGAAATTTCAGTGTTTCCTTATGACAGCAATTTACACGTCCCATCAGATTTTTACGTATACTTTTGAAGTGGTGGTCCAGTGCATTCAAACACACCACTTCCCTTTCTTTAACCCATCCACACAGACTGTCTGCCAGATGAAATAAGAAGTTCACACCTTTGCCTTCTTCCCCACCTGACATCGAACTGATGGCTGAGACCAGCAAGCACTATTATGCAAGGCTGATGCCCATATCCACCTAAGCAAGTGAGGGCCGTAACTGCCAGCAGCGCTGCATTGGATTGTGTAAAATACACAGGCAGCAGGTTGCTTTCCAAAACCAGCACATATTCACCTGACAGCACAACCTCTAAAGGGACAAGGATGAGAAACCCAGGTGATGGCGCTTCATGCATCTGCGCAACAGCTGTTCCAAAATATCCTCCAAAATCTTAGTGGGGAGGAAGGTTGATAAAAAACCCTGAATTTTTTTTTTCTCTCTGGTAAGCTAGTAACTGAGCAAAATATTTCAAATTCTGAAATTTCCACTTCTAGTGGAATAAAGGAGAGTGTGGATAAATTAAAAATGGCCAGTCTTCTTCAACCTGACCCTTTATGGTAACTCAGTTTTCAACTTCTGTAGAAGACAGAAAACACAGCCAAGAGATTACTGTATAAGGCCGTACTTGCTTACTGAGAAAGCTTGCATATGCAAGGATTTAGGTAAGAAATGTTTTCCCAAGAGAGGTCCTACTTTAGGATCACAATTCCAGAAAGCACTGACCATGCTGGTGTCAAAGGAGGCAAATCATCAATGAGCAAGGTGGAAAAAAAACTTTAACAATCTGCTGTAAGTGCAGCACAAAGCCAAAAAGGAGTGTAATAGGTTTCTTTCCATTTTTTGATCATGCATGAAATGAGCTATGTCATAACCAAAACCACACATCATAAACAGAAAAAACAGGCAATTTCCAAACTGTCCACATTTCTGTTGGAATATTTGGGACTCAAACCATCTTCAAAGATCTGTCAGTAGTTCCTTTTTCCTTAGTCATAGCAGTGTCACAAAAAAAAAAGTTAACAATGATTTAAGAGAAACATGAGAGAATATTTAAAGCTTAAAAAGAAGCTGAGGTAAGCAGGGGGAGACTGAGAAGCCCATGCAGAAATTGACTATATTCTCACTTATTCAAGAAACTCATGTTTAAGTATTCCAGCTCTTCCTGTCATCACTTCTTTTGGCCAAACTATGAATAAACATGAGGAAAAGATAATCAATCATACTCCTTGGATTTAAATTGTCCAAAAGAAGAAGCAGCTCTCAGAAGTGTTCTTGTATTCTCAAGTGTTTCTAGTGGCTCACGAAACTCCTTGTTGGGGAAACATCAGAGAACCAGAACCAGCCTTGCTTCCCACACTGCCCATTTGTGAATTCTTTCCTATTACTAGAGTGAAGCACTGCAAAGCAGCTTGACCTACTGGGGTAGACTGTGGTTAAAAGGAGTCACTGGACTTTGAACTCAAAATTTCTCTTTTCCAAAAAAGAGATACAAAGATTCCTGTGTTGACCTCATGAGGGAGGCTGACTCCACAGGGGAAGGGGCAGGGAACAAAGCTTTTCATAAATACAGACTCTTTCCCGGTCTTCAGATGTCTTGTAGTGATCCCTCCTGAAATCAGGATTAGATTAATAATGTCCAAGAAGGAAAACCCCTTCTGGTTTCATACACACACGTAAACTGCATAACATGTTGCATAACATACTGAATTCTTAAAATACTGTGTAAGATAATCCTCAGAATGATAGTTTTCTCTCAGTTTGTGGAAATCATTTTGTTAGTAGTGTAACTCCAGTGAACAGTTATGCCAATACATTTGTGGTTTAAAAAAACTAAAAATGGTTACCAAAACCTAAAATAGATTGTTAAATTAAACTATCAGCATATAATATTATTTAGAAGCTCAGAAGAAACCCTTGGGGAAGGGGAGAGAATTTGATGCTAAAGATACCATCTGCAAAGCAAACCTCTTTACAACATGTAAAAGTTAAGGAACAAAACAGAAATGCCACCATCAAATAAAAGTACAAATATTTCAAAATTTAGTAGTTACTTATTCCAGAAACCCAAAACCATGCTCAAAGTACAGGAGACAGCACAGTTTTCCACTCTTGATTCTATCAGACATTTACTGTGAAACTGCTTTTTGACCTACCTGTCTTACAAAGACAATTCAATGCTCTCATTTCTATGCAGATACAAATGAGGAGCTATTTCTGTTCAACCAAAGATCAGTCATATACTGTGTGAAGCAGAGGCTTCTTCTGTCAAGACCTCTACCACAGTTATCAATGAGAAAAGCATAGTCCTGGGAATAATAATTGTTAATTAGTAGCTGTTGAGGATCAGTCATGGCAGGAGGAGAAACAGAATGTGACTGAGGGTCCTGCAGAACAGTACCTTAATTTATTTTTCAAATTTATCAGAATTAAACTGACAGAAATAAGTAACCCTTTCTAAAGCTTATTTCCAAAGATACTACAGGACCTGGCCAAGAGTCTATTAAATACATTTTAAATTACTAAGGGTCTCTCAAAATCTTTCATTAATGAAAGTCTGAACAAGTAAGAGTTTCAAAAAAACTTCAGAGTTTTTTCTTTTTTGTAGCTTGATAAAGTTGTGGAGAAACAGAAAGAAACTCACAAACGAATGCTGGAACAACTTCTCATGGTAGAAAAATCACACAGACAGGCACTGTATGAACTAGAGGAAGAAAAGAGGAAGCACAGCAAATACATGGAAAAAAGTGATGAGTTCACGAACTTACTGGAACAAGAATGTAAAAGGTAAGGTTACCTACAATTTAATGTTACATCTAAGGGTCTGTGTGCTTTCTTATTCTGCATCCACTAAAAATCAGAAATATCTGCAGAGATGTATTTTGAGAGATCACTTTTTTTGTGAAAATATGACTAATCCTATGCAACAGTAGTGACTAATCTCTATCAGCAGGTGAGGTAGGTCAAACGGTTGGCAGATTCTTCAGTGCTGTGGCAGGATGACAGGTAGGTTGTACTACAGAGAATACAGGGGAATACGTAAATGTGCAGTTATAACCGACATAAAGCACGTGAACCCTTCAAGCATGCTTAAGAGTACATTATAGTATATAAGTAACAAAATATGAAACCAGTCTCTGATGGCAGAGGAAAAAGACATGAGGAAAAGTAAAAGGTGTTTAGACAAACCATAGAAATACAGAGAGAGGAAGCAAAGGCAGAGGATAACTTACAGAAAGCTTTGAAAATAAGTACATCATAAAGTTCTCATATCAGGACTGGCATAAAAACCATCAATCCAACTTTATTTTTTAAGTGTAACCTAAAAGTGACACAGCTTGTTCAGCACAGTGTGAGAGCTTCAATACCAATTCTCAGAAGGAGGATTAAGAAAAATTTGACATCATTTACTATCTTTAAAAAAGCCACTTTAACCTGTGGCTTCTCTGAATCTGCAGGAAAACTGAACACATCCTAAGGAGAATAAAAAAATATCTAACAACATTTCCTATTCCCTGGATAGATACCCCAGAAGATAGAATATTGTCTCAGTTTCCTTCTGCTTAGGAACAGATGGAAATGTTTGGGTGTGAGAACACCAAGCCTATTCTAAACTCACAGTATGCATAGATAATTCTTTCTCTGCTTCGCCTGTGTAACATCACGTTCCACGCATTTTGGCAGTGCTCACCCTTCGCTCTATACCTTTCTCCTGCAGGTCTATCAAAGATAGCACATATGCTTCCCACTGAGTACACTGCTGTATTTATGGCTTTTAATTAAAGAGGCTGGGGAAGAAAACCCTTTGCTTCTCAGAAAAATGTACACACATGCAGGCAAGCACAGGCACACACAGAGAAGAACATACAAAGCCCCCCATAAGGCATAGAACTGATTTTTTTTTTCCTTAAGAACTGTTTTATGAAACATCTATTAGGGAACAAAACCCGAGATAAATAGAAGTTTTCATCTCTGCAGTTCTTTTCTCAAAAACCACAAGACACTCATCTCTTAAGAGACAGAGCGAAACAACTACAGTTGCTAGAAGTGGCAAAATGTTGCATCAGACACCTGTGCTCACATAGCATGAAAAGCTGCACAGAAGAAAACACTAAGCGTCAGAGTCCCTGGATTTTTTTTTCTTGTGAAAACAGCGTAGAGACAGGATTAAACCTCTCTTCCCTGCCTCTCCTCCACATTCCCCAAGACTATAAAATATTTATCACTATCTGCAACATTTAATCTACCTGCCTAGAAAAGGGGGGGAAGGAAAGGAGGTGGGAATAGAGACCTTAGAGGACGTAGTAATAGATTTCAGATTAAGTCTCAATTTTTGTATTTTCTTTGGAGGATACATTTTATGTGGAAAACCTTAAGGGGGTGTGATGTCACGTGTTAAGTTGATTCCAAAACGTTTGCCAAGTAATGTTACCATCAAGAGCTCCACGCAATTGCCTGCTATAACAAGAAAGAAAGAACCAAGGGAAAAAAAACACACCAAAACAACCCCCAACCACAAAGAAAGACCAAACAAAATAAAACAACCTCACAACCAAAACACAGGCACTCAGCAAGTTAAGGCACAGCAACTTCTACATTAGGCTGCCTGACTTCACATTCACAACACACACAACAGCCCCCACCCCACCATACAAAAGGAATTGACCTTTTCTTCCATTTCAAAAACCTTAGCCCAATTCAAATCTTCTCAGGGTGTGAATTTTGCATTTGGATTAAGAACAAATGGAACTCTGCTAAAAGTTTCATACATGAAGCAGTGACAAATTAATTTTGCTTTCTTCCATTAAACAAAACAAAGAAACAAAACCCCCAAAAACCCCAAAAAGTCAGAAAAGCAGTATTTATCAATAAACTTTTCTTTTTTTTTCAGCCAAAAGCAGTATTCTCTTTTAAGTGTGGAATGATATATAGCAATCCCAACAATATTTCGGTTTCAAAGCAGAATCCTGAACTTCCTATTCAGTGAGTCAAAAAAGTGTCTTGCTTTTATGGAAGACCAAGGTTACAGCCAGTGTATGATAAACTTATTCTTTCGGAGTATAGAATGCATGCAAGCCAAACAAGGTATCTGAATAGTATGTGATTATGTGATCAAAATGAAAAATAAAAACTCAGATGCTGTGGCAGAGTGATGCTGAAGCACTGAAAACTACTCATGACAGCAAGAAGAAACTATCCATCAGCTCCAATTCTTACATATGACTCAATATATTTTCAAATAAGGCAGAGAGAAAGCATTTCCTTTTTTTACCTATGTGCTCAATAAAAACAGAACTGAAGAATTCTTAACTGAAAATTCTAGTGATGAACTAATTTATCTGATGATCCATGGTTTAAAAAAAGCTAGGCAAGCCTCTATAAGCCTTCCTCCTGCCATACATGACATTTCTCATTAAGAGTGTTACAAAAACATGTTTGAATCCTGCAAAATATCAGCAGCCTTCACTGACAGAAAAAACAACACCAAAACAAACCAACAAACTCTTAATCATTTGAGAATCCCTTTGACTTCACAGCGAAGTGAATACGGGAACTGGATTAGCATTTAATGTTAGCTCTTTAGGCATTTCAAGCATTTTTCTTGTTGCCAGCCAAAACTAATCCTCCATAGTCTTGCAGTAGTTGAAAGACAAATATTAATCTTCCAAACTGAAAAGAATCTCAGTACTTAGCAGCAGACATTTACCAGTAGAAGAATGGTAAAATCATGCTACTATCATTACATTTACTCATCTTCAGTCGTATGTACTTTTGAAACATGGAGCCACTGACTAACCTGTCAGATAAGGCACAGTTTTCTGGAGAAAAGGAGGCCAATGGACAATGACTGGATAAGGTTTCCCCTGCACTTCAACCTGAAGCATACCGTATGTGTGCAGATCAGACAGGAACAGAGAGACAAACCACATGTGCAAGGTAGTATACTAGCCCAAGACTAATAAAGCCTAGAAGAGAAAATTTTACTGTACTGCTGAAGCCTACAAAAATAGCAGCACCAAAACTCACAAGTACATAGAAAAACTTCAGAAGCTAGATACAGAGACTAAGATCACCCAAAGAACCAGAGCGTAAAAGCCATTGAGTTTGTTCAGAAGCTCTTGTATTTCATGGGGCTGGGATATAGAGGGCAGGATTAAGGACTAGAAAGAATACTTAGTTCAGAATCAAATGCAGATCCACTGTATCTTCCCTGAGGATGTACTCATTCATCCAAATATATTTATCCACAATCCATATTTTTGTTGTACAGTTAAACAATAAAAGCTGCTCGTTCAGAAAACATTTTACAAAGCTAAAATATGAAACTAGAAAGTTTTCCAGATATGCATGCTCCCAGTTTTAAAACACATGCCATATACATACAAGTATTTATGTGTTCACATATTACTCTCCACCCCACACATGCACAAAAAAAAACTTAAAAAAAAAAAAAAACAGCAGTAAAATGATCAGCACTTACACAGCCCTGTTCCCTTGCAAATCTCAAACAGTTTTACATGTTACTTAAGCACAGTTATTCTCCATTTTCTCAATACTGGAAGGAAATGAAGGTATGAGTGGAAGAAATAATTTACAGGTACCTGAGGGTTAAAAGGGAGGAAAGGAAGTAATCTCCCAATGTACAGGTGTGTCTCATCATCAGACTTTCTATATACTATATAGACTCTCAGCTATACAAAGGGTAAAGCTTTATTATGAAGATACACTAGTTAAATAAGGGAATGTTCAACAGAATAGGAAAAAATACAGCTGTTTGCTAATAAGCAATGTAAACAGATTTTCAAAGATAGTTATGATAAATGTTGCCCACAGAAATTCAAATGTTAGCACACAAATTTGCAGGTTGGTATAACAGCAACTAATAAGATCCTGAAGTTTCAGGATCATCTACTAAGATGAGGGGGTTTTTTCCATAGGGAGGAAAGCAATCATAAATTTTTACTTTAGCTCTGACTTCACACTCACAAAGGTCCTATGAAGAACCCAGTCCAAAGAAGAAAACACAACTGTTTACATATAAGATGATCCTAACATTTTCTAAAAGGAAATTTACTCCTTATGCTCTAAGCAGATGGAAAAAAGCTAAGCCAGCCAACCAAACTCTATTCCACTGTATCAGACATTTCTTCTTAAAACATAAAGGGCATTTTCATTTGAGGAGTTCACCAAGCATAAAAAAAAATATAAAAATGGAACCTAACCTGCAGAAGTCTCACAACTGTAGTCTTTATCATCTAACAAAACACTGCGCTTGTTGCTCCAACTGCTGCCCCTCATCAAGGTCAGCCAGTTAAGATTATAACCTGTTGAGTGTTACAGGTTAGAAGGGATCTCTGGAGGTCTCCAGCATAACCTGCTGAGTGTAGGGCTAACTTCACACTCAGGATCAGGTTGCTCAGACCCTTGCCCAGCTGACTACTAAAGATCCCCAAGGAACAGTGATTCTGCTGGCTACCAGGGCTCCTGAGGCAGTCTTTGCCACCCTCACCAGAAGACCCTTTCCCTCAGTTTTTCATGGTAAGCATCATTCTGGCTTGGCTTATGCCTCACATTCAACTGAAACTGCTCTCAAAAATATTTTTTTTTATCATTTCCACATCACCTGTTTGATCCCTCTATGTCTCTTCACTGGATGTACTCTCATTACTGCATTGAGGGTATGTATGGTTACTTGCTTACATTTACAGTCCACTTTCACCCTCTCTTGAAATGTTATTACATGAGCTAAACATCACACTAAAAATATACCAAAATCAAATCATATT